TAAAAAATGTTGAGAAGCCCAAATTGCCCAAACTAGTTTGGGCTTTGAGAAAACAGTTTGGACCAGAAACCTTACTCAGGAACATAGTGCTATTTTTTGTGAGTGTGCATTTATGGAGGGTGATTTTACAAGCTCTCTATAAGCTTGGGGATGAGATGGGCTGTGCATTTATGGAGGGTATACATAGTGCATGCATTTAGGGAGGATGCACTTAGGGAGGGTTCACTGTAGATCATAACAAAATATATAAAATATTAACAGAATTACCAAACAATTCAAAGTTAGTAAATTTTTATAAAAATTATGGTATTGATAATGATATTATAATAATATTTAGCAATAAAATTAAATAAATAATAAAGTTATTGTTTGCAAAAAAAAATATTAAAAAAATTAAGGCTTTAATAATTAATAAATAATATTTGAAATCATTTATTTTATAAATGTTGATTGAAATTTAGGATCTGATTCATTTTGTCAACAATCATTTTGTCAACAGTCATTTTGTTGAAAGTTTGTTTTGTTGAAAGTTCATTTTGTCAAATGTTCATTTTGCCAAAAATTTGTTTTGTCAAAAATTATTTCGTCACAAAAAAAAACTTCATTAAACAAATTTCTCCTCACACTTCCCACACACTCTGCTTTCCTCACCTAATTTCTTAACTAAATTCCCACACTACTTGCATCTAACTCATTCAGTCTCTGGCCCAAGGATGAAATAATTTTTGATGAAATGAACATTCAACAAAATGAACATTCAATGAAACAAACTTTTGATGAAATGGGTGTTGACAAATGATTGTCAACAAAATAATTTTCAATGAAGTAAATGCAACTGGGAGAAGAAACTACCATTATACAATTATGCCAGATTTGTACTGTACTTTGCAATCATTATGGTTTGATAAAAGCTTTTGGATCCATGTTTATTTAGTAAAAAATGTGTTTGGACAACAAACAAAATTTTTAAAATTGATTTCTGGGTTTCTGGGGTTTGCAAAATAATAATTCTACCCCTTTGGAGCAGGTTTGACTAGTGCTGTTGGGAATGAATAAAAAAAAATTTTTTCCTTCCCCAATTGTATAATTCCTTAAAATCATGAATAAATCTGATAATATTGATTATGGTATCTGATTTAATTAATTTTCTTATCACAATTAATGATTACAGATGCTTTGCACCAGTGTCACAGTCACCTTTTCTTCTTCCTTATTAATGTGAATATAAGGGGGTGGTGACATTTTTAAATTTTAAGGTACTGCAAGTGTGCAGTCTAGTCTGAGTTTGACACAATGAATGCTATTATGGCACTAGCCTCTTTACTAATACCTTTGTTAATAGCAATTCCTAAAACCTTACTTCTCTAGCTAGTTTCCCTTTTATATTATTAGTGTTGGTCACTAACCATCCTTATTATTGCAGACAAATTCTGGTAGATCTCCTCTGTTTTATCCTCCAGTCACACACTACATTTTATATACATCTATAAGTACTAAGGGCATCATCCCTTGGATACATTATTAATAATAATTAAATATTAAGCACTTGCACTTTTTCATCAAAAGGTTTTCACAAAGAAAGTTTGTTTAATGAAAATTAAGACTATTAAGACAATTATTCTAAGCTGGACAATTCCAAGCTTATTTATAACTCTTGAAGTTATACAAATAACATGACCTTTACATGATTTTATATACTAAAGCTGAATTATTAATTCATATAAATATTTATGTCAGCTGAATGATGATAATATAAACAAAATCATAAAATAGGTAATATGGCTAATATTATATATAGATAAAACAAGTGTTCTAAGAATTCCATCATCCAACGTCCCTTTGATTATGATACTCCGCGCAGCCTAAATATTTGGTCAATCATCCTACACCACGTGACTACCGTAGTAATTTCGTTTTTGATTGATCATAATAAAGTAGGACTCTAGGCCAGTACCGAGAGTTCAGAAATATACTGGTGTAACTTTAAGAAATTTGGAAAGATCCACTTGACCTAACAATGGTTGAGTAAGTTATCCAGAAAAGGATGGAATTGAAATTGGAAGAGTTGTTTTTAACAGTAAATTCACTCTTGAAAATATTGTTAAAAGTTTTTCTAAAGAAGCACGCCTCAGCCTACTGAGAACAATATTGACCTTGCGAATGCTTTCAGAAAGCTCTAATTTCCCAACTTTTGGGAGTAATTTGGCCAAAACGTAAATACATTAGTCAAGTCTGCAAAAGGAAATGATATTACAACAAATTTTAATAAACATTCTTCGTCGTTGGTTATTTTATAAATTAAGTAGCGCATCTAATTTTTGACTCTTTAACAATAAACTAATCAAATAAATACTTATTTTTTTAATTTAGGTTGGCCAATGATCTCTTCAGAAAAAAATGGAGTTATTGGTTTCAAAAAAAAAATTTTACCATCCAAGAAGAATTCATTTAAATTTTAAACAAAACATATACCTTTGGTATCTTCTTCGAAAGGCGGTCTATAATTATAAGATGCTCTTCTCATTTAATGAGACCAATATGGGAAAGTTATCTCCCTTGGTGAAAATGAAATCTTGAGTACTTTTGAAAAACATCCACATATAGACCCTTTAACATGCTTTCTGAATGTTATCTTCGTCCTATGTTGATAGCACTGTCCTCCTATCACTTTAAAACTTGACTGCCAAAGATCAAATCGTTAACTTATGAATGAGACATTTTATCCTCTCATGACTCTAAAGAAAAAATATGAGAAGATTTGATTATGTTTGTTAGTATGGTTTTAAACAGGCTCCAAAACATCACTTTAGAAGAAAAATGCAAACGAAACTAAAAACCCGAGCACGGCACCTCCAGAAGCAACTCAAGTAGTTGTCATCTTGTCATTAAGAATCATTGATGAAACATAAATAAACGACAAATCCAGATCACAGAGATTTTTACCAAGCTGTGGATAAAAGGACAGTGACAATTATTATAAATAAATTAATCTGCTGTAATAAAAATTTACATTAACTATTATTATTATTGATTAAAATAGACAAGTCACAAAAAGGAATGGCTCGACAATGACCCTGTTATTGATCAAGAATATGCCGATATCCAAAGTTAGCACAGTCCAGACATTCCAGCAACATCTAAATTTATGTCTTCCAACAACTTCAACAGGGTCTAGAGTTTATATGGCCAACAAAAATGAAAGCGTCCAAGATGGAAGACATATATAAGTTTTTGAAAAAGGTTTATTGAATTTGACAGAAATTCAGTAATAACTCAACGGTATCTGCAGGAAATGCACATGGACCTGTGAAAATGCTCGTTCTTAGTCATGGACGATATGCCAAAGACATTGATGAATTCCGTACAAATAAGGTATGCAGTTGGTGTAACCCCTACCAGCTTTCAAGAGGACGGGAAAACTCCATTGAACGTCACCGCCAACACTATGATTCGAAGATAGTACTTTAAAATTTAAAAATGTCACTGCCCGCATGAAGAAAAGATCAGCAAACATAATGATAGAAAAAAGGTTACTAGTTTCACCATAATTCGTAAGAAAAAATAAAAACCTTACTTCATTTGTTAATTTTCATGAACTTATCAGTGCTAAACAAATTATTTGCAAACGTGGTAAAACTATTTCATTTGGAAGCAATTATCAAGTTGCGATTTTAAAAGACATTCAAAGAGTAAAAATGTAATTTTTTTGTGGAGAACCAGCCTTGCATTGAAGCATGTTGGTTAAAAAGAAATCCCATGGAATATATTGATAATGGTCTGTGAGGATTAGGGAATGAAACCATGAATATGTGTCGAGACTTTGTGACTTAAAATATATTAATTATGTCATAAATAGCACAGCAACTTTTGGTGTGGAAAAAGTCCTGAAGATGATGCAAAAACAACTTTTTCCTAAAATTTCCTGAAAACAAACCTTTTTCTAGTAAAAGTCTTAATAAAATAGAAAGACAAGAGTTTGAAAGAGCATTATAAGATGAGGCAGCTTGGTGTTTGGACAAAGGAAATTTAGCAGTTTACTATATCCAATGTAAAAAAATATGTATATAATGAAAATGCTATATGTTTAAACAAACCAATCAATAATGTAAAAGACAAAGCATGCAGGATTTTTGGATAATATATTTTTATTAAAGTTTATATTTCAATATCTCAACAATATTTTTCACGTGAAAACTTGATAGGCAATTCATAAGATGTTACGCTCATATTCCAATTTGAATTCTAATTTGATAATTAAAATTTTGAATGTCAGGCCATCAATAGTTAAATGTTGCTACGCATAATAATAATAATAATTATAATAAAAAAACAAAATTCGAATTTATATGTTTGATTGTTTGATTTGGCGGTGACACACAATAGAGTTTTCCCGGTCCTCTTTCAAGTGGGACATCGTTGTGAAATTTATAGTGTGTGAGTCCTAACACACTTTGTCGCATAGCATGGAACCGATGAATTAATCATCCTTCAAACATTTTTGACAGTGGCATGGGCCGAATATTTTTAGAAGAAACAATAGTAATAGAAACACATAATAATAATAAGTAAATAGATGGCCATTTCCGGGAATGTCCAACAGTAGATGGTTCACTGCAATGTAGTTTTGTTACCATTTACATATACATTTTTACATATTAATGTACATTTTCATTTTAACATTTATTACATTATTACATTTATATTTACATATATATATTTATATATTATCATATGTATTTATTTATACGTTCATATATTACCATATTCATATTTATATTTTATTTATACATTTACTACATCATGCCGAATTGAGATGACGCCAATCTTTTATCACAAAATGGTTTTTTTGTATAAAATAAAAAAAATTTATTCATTTAGTCTTTAGAAACAACCTTATTGTTATCGAGAATTATGGCAGAAGCACCCGCTCTCAGTGTACAAATAGTTCGTGGTTTAAACGATAGAGTTTACGAGAAACGTAAAGCAGCTGCATTAGAAATAGAAAAGTGGGTAAAAATGAATTCAAAAAAACTAATTAATAGCTTAACATTTAAAAAGAAAATAAAAAAAAATTGAATTAATTATTTTTTAGAATTTTTATTATTTTAACATACATAATAACAACTTTTCACCCTTTGTTTATTTTTTATATTTGTATATATATCTAATAGATTAATTAGAACGCATTTTGCTTCTAATAATGTAGAAAAAATTAAAAGTATTATTGAAAAACTCACTCAAGATTTTGCTTACTCTGCACATCAAAATTCACGTAATGGAGGTCTAATAGGTTTAGCAGCAGCCGCAATCGCTTTAGGGCCTGTATGTATCAAAAAAAATTATATTTACAATAGACAAGGTATATATGCATACACATATTAATATCATTTATTTTGAAAAATAGGACGTGGCACCCTATTTAGATGATATTGCTACGCCAGTTCTTCATTGCTTTACTGACCAAGAATCACGCGTAAGATATTATGCGTGTGAAAGCATGTATAATATTGCAAAAGTTTCTAAAGGCGAGATTTTGAGATATTTTAATGAGATTTTTGATGCAATGAGTAAGGTAAAGAAAAAAAAATTTTTTTTTTGATGAATTAAATTATCATTACTTCATATCTAACCATGTACCTTAAAATATATGGGAGCCATTCTAACAAAATCAGGTCTGAGACTCGTTAATCAAATTTGAAATAAACAAGTCTCAGACATTGATTTTGCTGGATTATATCCCATGTACATATATATATGCATGCGTTTCACATTTATAGCTAGCCGCAGATGCTGACTTACCAGTGAAAAATGGAACAGAACTATTGGATAGGTTAATTAAAGATATTGCAGCAGAACAATCAACCACATATGTTTCAGTTTTAGATGCCCCAAGCCTTGTTTCAAATGACGATCAAGATTTTTCAACGGATCCAATGAATATCCCAAGAACCACAGCATTTTCATTACCAAAATTTATTCCATTGTTGGCTGAACGTATTCGTGTTAAAAATCCATTCACACGATTGTTTTTAGTTTCATGGATTACAGTATTAGACTCAATACCAGATCTTGAATTGGTTTCTTTTTTACCAGATTTTTTAGATGGACTAATAAATTTTTTGAGTGATCCCAATGAAGCTGTGTGTGTTTCAACTTCCAACGTCTTGGCAAATTTTTTAACAGAAATACGTGAAGCTGTTGAGGTTAAAGAACAGCAAAAACAACAAGCTATGAAAATCTTTTATGTTGAACAACAACGAAAATTTGCAAATTTATCTGAAAATAATAGTGAAACAGGCGATAGCTTGAAAGATGGTACTGTTACTAATAGCAGCGTTGATGATGATAACTCTACTTTGGTTAAATCAGTTGATGCTGGTGATGCCTTTTGGGATTCTATATCTATAAGTGAGATGGAGGGTAAAGGTAAAGGAACCTGGGTCCCAGGTCAAAGTGTAGAAATCAATTTTACCAGAATTATTGAAATTTTAATGCCACATTTAAGTTCCTCAGGTATTATAAAACAATGAGAATGTATTTGTTTGAATAGTTTTGTTGGGATATTTGAAAATTTAATAATAATATGATTATTATTCATTTATAGTTGAACAAATTCAAGAAACAGCATTGAAATGGATAAATGAATTTATTAATATTGCTAAAGAAGTGGTCATCAGCTTTACACCTCAATTAATAAGTGCTGTCTTACCCTCCTTGGCTCATTCAGTTCCAAATATCCTTTCATACCAATACACAGTTCATATATGTGTATTCAAATATTTGTCTATTTGCCTGTTTTCTTCAGAACATTGAAATATAACCTCCTTAACAGATTATTATTAATATTATTATACAAATTAGAAATTGTGCCATAGATGTCAACAAAAACCTTCATAAAATGATCTTAGAAACACCAAACTTTACCAATACTTCTTCTGCCTTACATTCAACTTTTCCAAAGGACCATAATAATAACAAAAACGACAATATCAATAATGATGATGGTGATAGTAATAACCAATTATCAACAATCTCACATAACAAATTTTCAAAATCAACTAGTGTAGATGTAAAAATTGATTCAAGTAGTGTTGTAGATACGTCACCTTTAATAGAGGAGGAAGTTGATCCTTTTGATTATCGATCAACAGTTAGATCATTGGTGGATCAATTTATTAACAGCCATGAAGAAACAAGAATTGCAAGTTTAGATTTGTTGATAATGCTTCATAAAAAAGCGCCCAAAAAGGTTTTTATTATTTAAAGAAAAAATAATTAATTAATTAATATAAAAAAAAAATTTTTTAACAAAACAATTTAAATTTATTTAATTTACAGATACTTGCTTTTGATGATGGGTATTTTCCAAATCTATTGGAACTTCTCTTAGATCCATCAGAAGAAGTTGCAAAACGTGATCTTCAGCTTCTTGCACAATTATCTTCAAGTTCTCAAGATGAATATTTTCCAAAGTTTATGGTTGACTTGTTGAAATTGTTTGCTACTGATCGCAAATTATTAGAAAACAGAGGAAGTCTAATTATTCGGCATTTATGTCTGAGTCTTAATTCAGAAAGGATATACATGAGTTTTGCTGAGATTTTGGAAAAAGAAGAGGTTAAAAAAAGTTTTAAATACTCTTTTTTATATCAATCAATATGGACCATTTATTTAGAAAAAAAATTTTTTGTTATAAATTGTAGGATATAGAATTTGCTTCAAATATGGTACAAAATCTCAACAGTATACTTATAACGTCACCAGAACTTTCAGATTTAAGAAGAAGATTAAAACACTTGGAGGCAAAGGATGGACAAATGTTATTTACAGCATTATATAAATCATGGTGTCATAATCCAGTTGCAACATTTTCACTTTGTTTATTAGCTCAAGCCTATGAACATGCCTCGAACCTTTTGCAAAATTTGTATTTTTCAATTCTTATTTATTTATTTATTATTTATTTATTATTATATTTTATTCGTAATATCGCTTATTTACACATTTATTTATTTTTAGTGCTGAAATAGAAATCACCGTTAATTTGTTGATTCAAGTTGATAAACTTGTTCAATTATTGGAATCACCAGTTTTTACCTGTAATTATCCAAAAGAAATTTCGATTTATTTCTATTTGTCAATTGATTGATTTTTTCAATTTGTTGTTAATTAATTGATTTCTTATTCTAGATCTCAGATTACAACTACTTGAACCAGACAAATACCCACATTTGGTAAAATGTTTATATGGATTATTGATGTTATTACCACAAAGTAGTGCATTTGCAAGTTTAAAAAATAGGTTGACAAGTGTCAGTTCTATGGGATTTTTGCATTTAATGCCAAAAAGGTTAATATTATACACACATGCATACATACATACATATGTATATATATGTACAATAAAAAGATATCAGTTCATTAAATTTTTTAAATAATTTTTTATTTAATAAGTCCAAATGATTCAAAAAAATCAATTAGTAAATTATTATCATCAAGAGATGAAGGAATTAGGTTTCAAGATTTGTTGACGCATTTCAAAACGGTTCAAACAAAACATGAAACAGTTCGTAAACAAGGTAATTTAAATATAATATTTAACGATTTTTGATGATTGAATGAATAAATATTGGATAAGATTTGTTTATGATTAATTAACCGCAATCAATTATATTTATAGCTCGTACTATTAAGAAAAGTAATACTACACGTAGAAGAAGAAATCAAGATTAGATATTTCCCTTATATTTTTTTATTTTTTTCTCTTTGTAACTATTTAAATACATAGACTTTTTATATTTATTTATTTATTTATTTATTTATTTATTTATCTATTTGTTTATTTATCTATTTGTTTGTTTATTATTGTATTAGTATGTGTGTATATATATTTATTCATTTTCATTTATTTTTATCATAAGAGACATTTTTTTAAATAAACTATTATTATTATATACTATTACTATTTATTAAACTTGCAAATTCGAATTTTATATTTAAATCGTTTATTATTATTATTGTTAAATGGCTGGTCAGAAAGATCAGAAAGAACAAATTTGGTAATCAAAAAACAAGCTGTTCACTCTACTAATAATGATAATAGTAAAGTTTCAAAGATAGCTTCTTCTGCTAATAATGACAAACAACAACAACAAAATATTTATCCAGTTCATAGGGCAACTCCTTCTACTAATTCCAACTTGTCTTCGTCAAAACTTTCATCAAATTCATCTGAAACAATCATTTCTTGAAATAAATATTAATTATACACAAATTTAAAAAACGCGTAAAATCTTACTATGTAGATCAGTGCCAAAAATAGATATAAAAAAATAACGTTATAGATTTTAGTTAACCCTCAGTTAAAGTAAGGGATGCAGTATGTATTGACATCAAATATAAATTAATTATATATTTAATGTTCTTATCATATATCTTGTCGCCTTTATTTTTTCATAGGCTTATCCATTCAATCATTATACGCTTTTATATTAGTGATAGAAATATTAAAAAAAGTAATAGGATTATTATTATTACTGTTATAGTTGGTTTAACAACATCCATTTGGATTTTATTACTAACGTTAACGTTAAACATCATTGTTATCACAAAGTCTATAGTTGAACACATTCATAAATTTATAATGGAAAATTTTAACAATTCGCAACAAATATAACCCGGATGGATATGTACCACTTGATGAAGTGAGCAATGCCAGTTATGCTAATCGTACAGATAATCCAAGCATACTAGAAACAACCTCCACTACAAGTGAAGATGTAAACTATGGTGATAATGATGATAATAGTGACGGTTGTAATATTTTTATCAAAGATTATCACAACATTTTAGAGTATGAGGATATTAAATATTTAATGGAAAATTTAAAGATTTTTTTTTGTTAATTTATAGTGAGTATAATTTGTTTTATTAAATTGCAAACAATAGCACCATTATCTACATCTTTTATTTTTTATTATTATAGAAAAACATTGGTATCTTTATGTGTTGGACCATCCTTATGACGGCATATACAGATGCAATCGTAAGCCTCGCAAGAGAATATATTATTATAATTAATGACAACAGATTTGTTGTCAGCAGATCTAGACAACTTGACTTATTTAGATTCTTGTGATTTTTCATCAATTACAAATAAAGATACAAAGGATTATGGAATTTTAGATAGCGATAAAAATTCCAAGGTATCATTGGCAGTTGTGCGATTGTGATATAGAAAATGGCCAATTTACACATTGTAAGAAAAAAGTATGTAGGCCAATTAAACAACCAATGGGTGCGTGAGAAATTAATACAGAAACAGTTATTGATGCTCTAGAAAAGATAAATAAAATGCTTTGATCAGCTTGGAGTTTATCAAGCCCACTTCCATATTGATCAAAATGGTCTCCATGGACCTGGATCAAAAAGTCAAGTATCCATTGAAAAAACTGGATACATAAGAGGCGTTGTCTTTTAACATTTTATCCAAGTTTCCAAATAATAAAAGAAAAGATGAAAGCGAACAGCAATAATAAAGTTATTTAACTAAATCATCAAATAAATTTTTATCGAATCAAAAATTTTCTTTGAATTCTTCGCAATTAAAACCTTTGAAAATGACTCAACCATCCTTATGATCCATTAAAAAGCGTGTGTATATCACTACTGAAAAGAAATGCGAATCATGTTTATTTAAAACAAAACAAGTTTTTAATAGGAGGTTGCTATGAGTTCGTGTAGTTATTAAACAAGTATGGAATTTCCGAAAATTTAATACAATTACATTCAATTTTTCAATACAAAATATATTTTCTTTTACAACGTTGTTAATTTTTGCAACCATGGCCTCTAATCTTTTAAAACTGCCCTAGAAATTTTTAATTGAGAATAATCAAAATCAAGAATCTGTAGTTTTCCTAATGTGGGATAGGAGGGAGCTTGACTAATTGAAACAACTTGTCCTTCTGCTATTATACTTTCATCAATGTTCAATGTTATGTGTGGTAGGTCAATCCTTGAGTTTTATGAATAGCCAGAGCAAATGCATTCTGAAGAGGAATTGTTTTCTTGAACTTTCTCGTTTGGTGAATTTAAAAATTTAGAATGACCGATAAAAATTTTGGGAATCAAACATTTTCCGAGCATCCAAGAACAATTAAAGAAAGCAAATGAAAGGTTGGAAGAGACAGGAGGTGGAAAGAGAAGTCGAAAGAGAGGTTGAAAGAGAGGTTGGACAGGTTAAAGAGGAAGAATGTGGAAGAATGTTAGAATGAGTTAAAGAAAGAAGAAATGGTCGAGAAGAAGAGGGGGAGACGTTACGAGAAATCAGTAGAAAGAAATCGTATAAAAAATATACAAAAATTATTTCCATTTCGTTTTATTTATTTATTATCAATTTGAGGTATTGGTATAATGGTATATGACCCGGTGCAAAATATTAATGACCTCATATGTTTAGTTTGCTTATATTTGCGTATTTTATATTAGGCAAAAATATTTAAACCAAAATTTGAATAAGTTCCGGCATCATATGCATAGTAATAGAAATAAAATTCCCAAGATTTTATCAAGTATGGGTATATTTCTAAGCTGAAAAGATTCCTCGCCTCAAACTGCATATAACTGCATTATTATTATTCCAAAAATAACAAAAAAAAAATAGACTGATTATTTAAAGTGCGTGTTTTCACATGATTTAATGCTACAAAGATATAACCACCATTTATCACCTGATCAAACCTAGTGGCAATAATTCAGTGACATACCATTATTATTATATTATTGATGCTTTGTATTTGGATTGTGTTAATAGCATTATTGGCATTATTATAATTAATATTGTCATGAAGCGGATGCTTAATTGATTCATGATGTGATTTATGTTTAAGAAAAAATCAAAGTCTTTAGAATGATCAATCAATTGTTTAATGAGATAGTGTTGGTAGTTTTGATTTTTTCCCAGTCTATTCCCTCTTGCTGTAGAGCCATTCCATGGCTTTATAAATTTCCAATTCTCTCAAGTTTACTACTTGGTTCATATAGATTTTGGTGAAGAAACTTCCTTAAAAGGCAAAGATGAGCTTGAAGATTACTTCTTTTTGTTTGCTTAACGAGACCCTCTCTACAAAGTAGAGTCCACCCACTTTCCAGTGAGTTATTATCCCAGGTGATTATAGTACTGAGTTCAAGTATGTTTTAACCTTTAGGTGTATTATATAAGCTTGTTTTCATGGTCTTTGGTATTATCTTTTTGTAAAATTATTTTTATTTCTATGTAAATCACAAAATGTTGAATTGTAACACATATCATAAAAGAAAAGATTTCGTCATCATTTCTTTTTAAAAATTTTTTTGAATTCCAAAATTCTATTTTTCCTATAAATAAAATATGAGCTCCATAGGAACAGGCGTAGGTTATTACTCAAAGAATTGTTGGCATTTACAAATTAAAGACTAATCAAAGACTAATTAATTAAAATTTGATTAATTAATGCTTTTATTTATTAGTATGATATTTCAGTTGCCACATATTCACCTGATGGGCGTGTATTTCAAGTTGAATATGCAGCAAAAGCTGTAGACAACAGCGGGTACATTATTAAAATAATGAAATACTATATGCATAAATGAACGAATGAATAAATAAATAGATAGATGTTTTTGTATGCATAATCTATTTTAAAAATGCTATTTTAGAACCGCGATTGGCTTACGTGTTAAGAATGGAGTAGTTTTAGCAGTGGAAAAATTAAATCAATCAAAATTACTAGTTCCGGGATCAAATCGTCGAATTCAAACTGTTGATACTCATATTGGAGTAGTAAGTTCTTGTAATATATCATATATATATATAATTTATTATTTATTAGGAATAGATTTGATTTATAAATAAATATATACACATGTTTGTTTTTATTTGTGTAATTTTTAGGCAACAGCAGGATTGTTAGCTGATGGAAGACACATTATTAATAGAGCAAGGGATGAAGCAGAAGGTTATCGAGACACATATAAAACACAAATTCCTGGAAAAGTAAATTTTTTGATCTGTTCTAAAAAATAATTATTTATAAAATAATGATGATTAATCAAAAAATCTATTATTTCTATAGACAATAGCTGATCGAGTAGGACAATATGTACAAGCATATACATTATATTCGAGTGTTCGACCATTTGGAAGTAGTGCTATTATTGGAACTTTTGATAAAGATGGTCCTCAACTTTACATGGTTGAACCTTCAGGTGTATACTGGGTAAAAATCATAATAAAAAAGTTTTTTTATGTACTGGTAAATATTTTTATTTATTTGATTTCTCATTAAAACTTTTTATAAAATAGGGATATTATGGATGTGCTATTGGTAAAGGAAAACAAGTTGCCAAAACAGAACTTGAAAAGCTTGTTCTTTCAGAAATGGATGTTTTGGAAGCTGTAAAGGAAGCAGCCAGAATGTAACGTTGATTAATATAAAAAATTTTTTTTTCCTATTTTTATTTATTGTATTATTGATTATTTGTCAATATATGAAAATATGTTCAGTATTTATACAGTTCATGATGAAGCAAAAGATAAAGATTTTGAATTGGAATTGAGCTGGATCACAGAAGATGATCAAAAACATCGACTTGTACCCAAAGATATTTTTATTGAAGCTGAAAGATTGGCAAAGGTACAATGATAAAGTCATTATTTTAAATACATATAATATTGTGTGACTAATTCATAAATCTTTTTGGGGATTAGGAATCACTTAATCAAGAAGAAATGGATGAATAATTAAAAGTTGGATCTTTTTATTATTTATTTTATTATTCCCCCATAATATTTATATATAATATTTTTATTATATATATAATAAAAAATAAACATTATTTTGAATACAATTTTAAATTTTATTGATTTCTACCGTATGGGCATACAACAAAACAAAGTGAACATCATCATTATTATTACGTCACAGAGAATTCCAGGGATCAAATAATGAATGCTTTATCTTTATCACACGTATTAATATTAATATTAATATTAATATAGGATTATCCCTCTACATAATAATTGTCATGTTGTATCATTCATCCATAAAGAAAACAAAACGTTATTTTAAATAAGTATCTATAAAGTTAAAGCAATGTATAAAATTTGCTCTCATTATATGATAAAAGAACTAGATGGTAATGAATTACGAATAATATATTTGATCCAACAATTAATGATATATTATAATTATAACAATGTATAAGTAATATAGAAAATAATGATTTAGAAATAGCTAATTTGGTTCATCTGTATCTAATATAATCTTGATGTTAATCAACCATTAGGAAATTCATTTAATATTGGTTATATGAATTATGATATACATTCTTTAGTTCAAAGTTTTATGAATGATGATGATTAAATAATTTGCTTAAAAAATAGCTGTGATTTTATTTTGTTGGTTTCACCCAGTTATAGTTCTATAATAGATTTTCTATAACGGATCTTACTTTATAACTATAACTGAGAATTTGAGCTTAATTTATATGTCCCGTATACAAATTATTACTGTCTATAACAAATTCGAAAGAATTTTGGTGACATGGTGGAATTAGTGTATAGTTCACTCGGGCTATTTGGTTTACGAAAAACGTCCGTTATAAAGAGGGTTTATTTCACCCACCATTGGTGGAATAGTTTCAGGTGAATGATGCAAAAACTTCGTGGATCATATCTAAATTTGTCCAAACCCAAAAATTTTACAAACCCACGTGGATTTTATTCCTATTTTGAATCTGGTAATCGCGCGGCGCAACACCATAAGAACACCAGTTAGTTTCTCTTCCATTCTTAAAAGCAATTATTGGAAGTCTATTCTTTATTCTATTCCTTTAAATGCGAAAAAACTTTATCTGATGATTATCTAAGGTAGAAGATGCAATGGAAGTTTCATTCGAAGAATGCTGGGTAGTGAGCCAAAGTCTGAACTTCTAAAACATTGCATCTCGAGAGGTTTCCATTTTTAAATTTGACACCTAGGCTTAATATGACAGATTTATTTTATTTTTCAGGAATGATTTTAAAGGAACTCTACAGCCTGCAATTATATACAATTTGGAAGGACCAAGTAAAGAATCAATCACTAAAATTTTCCACTATCGCAATGGAACCTTTGTCCTACACGGAAAGAAGGCTCAGGTTAAAATTCAGCAAAAATATCAAGGGTTTCAAACATTTGCTCTTTAAAATTTCACATTTAAGAATATGCATCAAATAACAACAATATTAAATGTCCTTGTCATTCTAATAGACCTTGATTGATTTATGTGTTCTTGATAAGAAAATCCATATCCTTCTGGTTATTAATTTCTGTTCTCCTTGGTAGATCAATATTTGTTTCTTTAAAAAAAAATATATCAAATGGTCAAAGAGGAGACTTAAATCTACCTAGAAGAATGTCAAGAAAGTTGCAGGCACAAATGGCTTAGTAGCAGATAAATGCAAAGTTGTTGTCCAATTAACTTGTCTAAAAGATGCTTTAATCCAAGGACACATTATATGGATTAATTACAAATGCATCCTGTGCCCTTTAGCAAAGAAAATCTGCCTTCAAGGTAGCAGGACATAGACTAAGGGAATATATAAGAATAGCTAATAAACAAGTGTATGCAAAAGAAAATGACGACAAAGGAAATTTTTTGATCTACATTTTTGAATTAAAAAATATTGTGTATTAACACTTGGTGCCACAAAATTGTTACGTTCACTTTGTCTGGTTCGTGTTTAACTATATGGAAATAACCTCTATTTATTTAATTTATTACATTAAGTAGATATGAGATATAAATGTTTTTCTAATTATATATATATTACAAATCGATTAATCGGTCGATCTATCCAATTTACGTTTAACTCCTTTTTTAGCCTCAGCCAAAAATTGATTGACACCAAATGGATCAGCTTCTTCTTTTTCAAATTCCACTGGACCATCTCTCGGCTAAAAAAATTATAATTAATTGCATATTTTGTATGAAACTATTAAATAAATAAAACAAATATTAATATAAATAATACATACCTGACTTTTATCTGCTCCTTGAAAAACTTTTGTACCAAATTTGTCAACACTTAACATTTTATTGATATCCTCTACATTACCACCACCAAATTTATCCGAGTCATAGTCCTTCTTTGGTTTATAAATACTAGATGCACTTGACCCAGCAAACAAAGGTTTATCGTATAAATCATAAGCTAATAAGTGGTTTTTAAAAAATATTATTAATATTTGTTATTATAAAATAAAACAAATTAATAATGATGGATGTACAAGTATAATATACAAACATTCATCATCTTTGAATCCGGATGAAAGTCCTTCACTTTGATTAAATAATCGAGTATCATATAAACTCTCTTGAGTTATTGTTGGTTTGGCAAGTCCCAGGGCAATCTTTTCAGAAATATCTCTGTTTTGCTCTCTATTTAATATTTTTCATTTAAAATAAAATATCTAATTAAATATTTGTTACAATGTATTTAATGCGTTATGTTTATTACAACTAACCGTGCAATATATTTTGCCCGTTTTTCTGCTCCCATTTTTGATAATCTAAATTCTCTTTCACGATTTCTTCTCTTTTCTTGTCTCAATTCTTCTCTTTCACGTGCCTTTTCTTCATCTGATTCCTCACTTGATTCTGTCTCATCATCAAGTATAGCCCCAGAATTCGCAGTAGCAGAAGAAGAAGAAATACCAGCTCTGTTATTCATAATCAAAAAAATTAAAACAAATAAAATATATAAAAATATATCATATATAAATTGGGATGACCAATTAATTAATTAATTAATTAATTCGTACCTTTCCTCTCGTGCTTTCTGAGCAAGCATACGCAAACGTTTTTCTTTTTCTTCCTTTTCCTTTTGAACAAGTTTTTCTCTCATTAAAGCTCGTTGTCTTACTTCTTCACGTGCGTGACGATCAGCTGCAAAAAGAGCCTCTGATAATTTTGCAAATTTGTCATTAATGGTAACCTGTAATTTATTTAAAAATAAAGGATATGAATAAATCTGTATCCAATGTAATATTTCTACATGTAAGGGAAAAATCTTCTGCACTAACCTCTTGCAATCCTCTTCCATCTGCCGCTAAACGTTTATCAAGTGGTATTGTATATCCTTTAGCATTTTTCCAATTGGAAATACATGGAGGAATTACCCACTCTTGTTGTTCTTTCGCAGTAACTTTCCGTGGTGGCGAGTGCAGCACTGGTGCGGGTGGCGATGGTGGGCCTGTTTTTAATTTAAAGCGTAGTAGATTAATAATATAATTACAATTTCATAATATACCATGGGTAATTGTTTACCTCTGGGAATTTTTTTATGTCTAAATTTTGGTGGTTCCATTGGGTCAACTGGCATTTCAACCATTCTTATTATCCTTTGTTTAGCACCAGAATTATAAGCTTCGCCTTGTTGTCCAGGAGTATATCTTATATATGTTGGCTCTAATGGCTTGTCTGTTTTAACATTCTTTGGTTGAGCAGCTTTTATTTTGCCTATTTTGATAATATTTACAATATTTACAAAACAAATTTTTAGGCAAAAAAAAATATTTTTTAGGTAAAAATGTTCGATAAATACCTTGTAAAATTTTTTCTAAAGCCATTCTTGTTTTTTCAGTTGTTTCTTTAACAACTTCCTCATTGGGTCTATCAAAGTTTACTTGATCCACATCAGCTCTTTGATTCAAAGGTACCAAGTCTTTGAAATGAGAGTGTATGATACGAGATTCAGAGTGTCCTTGTTTAGCAATATCATCATATTGTATATTTCCTTCTGCATCGACTTGTAATGGAAGAGCACCTCCACTGGTAACCTATCAAAAAGGTTAATTAATATAAATAAATAGAACAATAACTTTAAAATATTTTTTGATTTCACTCACAGTTTTTGATCGACCCATTTCCAAGGGATACTGTGCAATGTGGATTTCAGGATAAGCACCTCCATCACCAAAGTCTTCTGGTCTTTTTGGTTTCCATCCCAATCGGTTTCTATATGATGGTGGTTGAGATCTATCAAGTTTTGTAGTTACTAAATCCTCATATTTACGATCGGTTTTGCTTGGTTCTGAATTTAATAATTTTCCTTGTGGTTTTGGTAAAATGCTATTGCATGCCAGACAATCAATTAAAATTATAAACAATTTCACTGGGATCTATTAAATAATTTTTTTTAAAGAAATATAATCTTTTTTTTTTACCTTGTAAGGGTTGACATTATAGAGTTTAGGGAATTTTTTTATTAAAAGTTAAAATTACAAATTAAAACACATTGTATCATTGTATTATTATTAATATATATTATATCACAAAGAAATTTCAGGGATCAAAATTTAGTAACAGTATTTTTTCATATTACCATTACTGTATTATCATTTTTTCGTTGTTTTTATTAATTAATTACTTATATAATAATAAAATTCTGTGATTTCGTGAAAGATATCGAAACCTTCTTGGTCAATATATATATATGCCTTTGTAATTATAACTCCCATTAGTATTCTTATTCATATCTCTAACCCCATATTCGAATATTCGCATCCGTAATAATTTGACAACGGGACCCCCGAATTATTATAATAATAATTGAGGTAACGTCCAAATTTGTCAATTGTTTTCAAAACCAGACAAAGTGAACCTTTGTACCACCAAGGATTTCAGGGATCGAATTTAGTCATCACCAATGTAATAGTGTAATTATTAACGATTTTATAATGTCCTATTTTGTTTTTCTTATAAAAATCATCCATGTTGTCAATATGCTTGATCACACAATAAAGAAATGGGTATTGAAACTAACAACAACCGAATAATTATAAGGAATGCTATACGTTTTTGATTCAAATGGTTCTTTGCGCAAAAAATGATGGAATGACTAAAGATAAATGCATTTCATTGATTTTCTTACCAAGTCATCAAGTTTACCAGAAGTCTCTTTTATAGATTTGCCAAATTACTTAATATGTCAGGCGGAAATGAAGTATCGTAATTAATGCCATAAATTTCTGCCTTAAGGGTAGGAGGAATCACGTGATAATTTAATACAAAATCCGGGATCAAAATTTGACTTTTCCAAATCAATAATTGTCTTAAAGGTGAAGCTACATGAGATGCATTCAAATAACTCCTGTATTATTCTATATGTGTATTCTGCTGTATAGTAGTTATTGAAAGTGTTTTTGAATAAAATCTTCTTTTAAAACTCTTCAAAAAACAAAACTCATCTCTAATTAGAGAAACTCATCCCATATTAAAAAGAACTCACCCCATATTAACATATACTCATCCCTTAGTAATAAATATTCAAAATACTTTTATTATTATCATAGTAATGGGAAAACTTATTGGACATTTTGTGATGATCAACATTGAAACCAATAAAAAAATTTTTTGATCCATGATTTACTGGGGTGTTACATATCAGCATAGTTGAGCACACATATAAAAAATCATATATGTGGATTTTTTTTGCCGATCAATAGATGTAAAATTTTAATATAAAAAATAAACAAAATTCAAACTCTATCTCCTCCCTATTTATCAAATAGACCTCCATTAAAAATTAGTATATAGGTACTAAATAACGAATAATTCAACATAATGGCTTTATTTTTTAATTTTTTGTTTATAAAAAAAAGTTATATGCAAAAAAAAGTTTTAAACAAAAATAAAAAATTTTTTTAATAAAATTTTAAAAATCCACGGCCATTAAGTGAAAATGTAAGATACAGGCTTTTATTTGATACTATTTTTATAAGTGTAGGAGAAGAATTGGTGGACTAGATAGATTTTGAAATTTTCGTAGATATTTTTTAGATTATATATTAAATCCGTTTTTAGAAAGATCATCATCACATTGAACTCGCACGTTTTTTCGCAAAATCTTTACAACTTTATATGAAATTCATATTATTCAAAGCTCAGGTTCTTGTTGTGAATATAAATTCAATGTTTTTAATTTTAAAGAAGTGAAAATCAATTATCAATAAGGATTTGCTGATTGCAATTTGAATCATGTTTTTCTAGATCTTGTAGAATCATGAAAGTGTATCCAAACCAAAAGCTTTTATTTGATGTAATTTAATAATTTAATTGATAAACAAAGTTGGGTGAATATTCAAAGCTAATTATAATTTTAATTTAACTAAATTTAATTGATTATCTATAACAAACATTAAATTGTTGATTTTTCCATATTATAACATAATTTATCTTCTTTTAGCTGACTGCACATTTATACATGAATCTGCATAATAAACATTGAATTAGTAATTGTAATTTATCTCCTTTAATTAACTGTGTCTTTATACACAGAGAAAAGACCTTCTCTAATTGCTCGTGTAACAAAAGGTGAATTAGTAATCATAATTAATTAACCGCGCCTTTATACACAGAGAAAGAAGACCTTCTCTAATTGTTGTGTAACAAGTGTTGAATTAGTAATCGTAATTCATCTCCTTTAATTAACTACGCCTTTATACACCTTCTCTAATTGTTCGTGTAATAACCATTGAATTAGTAATCATAATTAATTAACCGCGCCTTTATATGAAGCAAATGCCTTCTCTAATTGTTTGCAGAATGAGTAATCTTTTAATTAGCCATCAAACATTGAATTCATAATCATAATTTATCTCCTTTACATATTTGCATAATAAACATTGTTTTTTTTTCATATGAATAAAGCAAATTCTAATTACGCAAATGTAACTTTGTAATCATGCATGATTCATTCCTTAGATTCTTTAATTAATTGCACTCCTATATGCAAAGCAGACACTTCTTTTACTAGTAACCAGAATAGAATCTTATAATTCAAATAAACCTTTCTACAAAGAATTTTAAATTACTAATTCAAGCCTTGGCACTTTAACTTGTTTCTCAATGAAATTCTTGTATTCTTAATGTTGAGCATTGAGTAACATCAAATTAATTCAAATAGCCTTTGAAATCCCCTCTCTGACTTTTCATCATGCTTTGGCATGTAATAATTTCTGAACAGATAATAATAATATAATCAAATAATAAAATAATAAACTTACATTGAGAAAACAGAATCTCTTGAAAACATACCTGAAAAAATATATCTCCACATATATTAATATATCATTTTAACACTTATTATAATAATTCATTGTCAGAAATTAACATTAGTATTAAACACACATACCAAATTAACTGCAATATCACAATTTGATTGATTATTGTGATGCCTCTTCAAAAAAAGTAAAAACATATGAAAAAGATATCTTCAATAGGTGCTGCAAATTCCAAAATAAATAAAAAATATAATAAAGATTTGTCTAAGGATCAAGTTGTTGAGATTTTGAAATCTATGAGCTCCAATGAATTTCAAGAAATTGTCCATGAAATTATCTCAAACAAGCCTCAAGAAATTACTTGTGGAATTAGCTCTGATGAACCTAAAGAAATCATACATGAAACTAACTTAATGAACCTCAAGAAATCATCAATGACATTAGCTTGAATAAATCTCAAGAAATTGCTTGTGAATTTAACTCCAATGAATACCAGGAAATAACTCATGAAATTAGCTTCAATGAACCTCAAGAAATTGGTACTCTTATTCCACAAAATAAAATAGAAAAAAAGAAGAATGAATTTATTGAACATGTAAAAAAGCTTGCCTGAAAATCAGATAATTAATGCTTATACTTTATTTTCCACAATGAGATATGATAAAGGAAACCATTGTGGAGAAATATATTCATCCTATATTCAAAAGAATTTGTCAATAATAGCATTTATAAACAAGCTTCATCTATATCATCAATACAAGAGAAAATTAGTGGAATGGAAACCAAAATACATAAAATGGAAAAGAAAAAGGGAATTACTGATCTTCAATTAAGATCACTTAAGATGAAAGAAGTGAAAGCTAAAGAATAATATTTCTAGGTTGCATTCTTCTATTCAAAAAGCAAAAAATATTACACCAAATCAGCTCCAGAATGTAATAAAAAGGATGATAAAAGAAAACAAGAAGCAATACACACCTGAATTTGTACAGCTTGCAACCACAATCAGTAACACTGGTAGCATTTCTATTTCATCTACTGTTGGATGTACCAGAGCAATTATACATTTTTTAACAGATGAGGAACCAGATCATTGGCTTTCAACTGGAACTATTTCACACTGGAATAAAGAAGTTGCCATTTTGTGTCTTTGTCAGAATTGTCCAAAAGATACCAAATCACGTTTTTATTCTTATGGAATAATGTGTGATTTTCATCACACATGGTGATAAAAAGATATTTTTGATTTGCTTTGCTCATTGGAATGAGGATAAAAATCAGCCCACAATTACTATTGCAAAGATGGATGATTTAGACAAATGCAATGGAAATACTGTAGTCAAAGCAGTAAAAAAAACATGTGAGGAAAATGAGATTAGTCCAAAGAAATGCAATTTTTGGCTTACAGATAACACTGCCTATATGTCTGGTTCCAAATCAGGTGCAGTTGTCAAATTTAACTTGATGTGTAAGTCTTCCTCCTACCGAATTCCTTGTGGTCTGCATGCATTGCAAATTACATTAGTGAATTTTGAAAATACAACATTTGGAAAACCCAATTCTCCATCAGGTCTCTCCTTGGAACAACAACACCCAATTTAACATACCATTTACATGATGGATATAATGATAGTAATAAAGAAAGCCCTTTGAACATGAAATCTGACTTGATATGTAAATTATACTGGCATTTGCTTCAATATCCTCTAAAAGCTTATCAAAAACCAATATTGAGCCATTGGTTATACCAGCTAACAACTGCTCAGCAATATTTGACAAATAAAAATACTCATCTAATATTTGCACAATGGTTTACTACTGAGTTAGAACAATCACAAAATGTTCCTGGTGGATATCTTAAAAAATGGAAGGTATTCCTCAATTGGCTTGAAGATTCTAAACTAAATATTGAAGTAGAATGCATGGTTAAATTTGGGGAAGTGTTCTATGAAAAAGTTTTTAAATTTTTAACTGGATTTGATACTTTACCTCGAATAGTTACTGAAGATGAGACAAGATGCCTGCCTTTTGGGAATCATGCACATGAAATCCCAGATCAAGTTCTTATCTGGATAGATGAACTCAAGAAAGCAGAAGAAAAT